ATAGTGGGATTGACCGTCACATTATAACGCCCCACGGTTGAAAGGGCGAACATGTTTGGTGTGACGGTGATTCGAACCCGCAGATTGCGAGTCGAACGCCCTAACCACCTGGACATGCCAAGCCGGCCAAGCTACAGGACTTTGCCCTAAAATTTTTTGGTCAAAAAACAAAGAATAGAACTATTTTATTATATTGTATCATAGCTCCCACTATTGAAAATTAATAGTATTTTTACTTCTTTTTTTTTGTATGTGTGTGTTGCGAATTTGAATTCTTGTGCGATTATGATTAAATTTCTAAGTTCATGTTTGTTATTCGAAACATAAATAATATCGTGGATTTATATTTGTGTGTGTGGCAAAAGAAAGAGAACACAAAAAAATAAAAAAATACCCCAAAAAAAACAAAACAAAGCTCACTTTTACCACAAACATTAAACGTTGTTTATATCAAGATTCAAATTAAGTACTGGTGCTATTGTTTAGACTTGTGGTGCCACTAGGGCATTCAGGCAATGGTATCATTATTTAGACTTGTGGTGCCACTAGAGCATTCAGGACAGTGGTGCCATTGTTTAGACTTTTGGTGCCACTGAAGCATTCAGGCCAATGGTGTCATTGTTTAGACTTGTGGTGCCACTGGGGCATTCAGGCCAGTGGTGCTATTGTTTAGACTTGTACTGCCACAAGAGCATTTAGTGCAGTGGTGACACTGTCTAGATTTGCGCTGTTACTGGAGCATTCAGGGCAGAAGTCCTTAACCTTTTTATTCATGGGTTTGAATAGGTATTAAACTGGTCGACCGTAGCAATAGTTCAGCTTAACTCAAGGCAAAACCATTTGCCAATAATATCCACAACTCAAATTCTCCTAAATGATTCCTTAACAGTTTTCAAATTCTCAAAGATTGCACTTCGGAAGATAGCATATCCACTCGTTCTTTAACTTGCTCAGGATTTCTGAGAAATGTTGTAGTACTCAGAGATTATCTCTCTGACTGCTAATGCATTCGGAATGCCTAAAGTATTTGGAATCGGTACCTAAAACGCTGAAAGACTATAAGTCTGTTCCACTCGCTAATCCAGTTCATTCATTTTATATTTTATTTTTTGCTGATGTACTCCTAGAGTGAGCATGGATACTGTCTTGTCCAGTCAAATCTTGCACCCACAGTCGTACTGTCTAGTGTTTCTCACGATCTAAACTGCGGTACCTGTCGCTGACAAATCAAACAGCAAGTCTCCACATCTTTTTGTAGAATATCTGACCACGTACTGAGTTAACTGTAGTGGAATATTTTACTGGTCAGGATGTTTGTTTTTTAGTCTTAAATCGTGTAATATTGTTAAGTTTTGTGCGAAAAGCGCTCTGTTCGTACACTTAGCTAGTGATAGTTATTGGAAAAATATGTCGTCAGTATTGAAATGGAGCTGAGAAATAAGGTATCTAGTATTAGGATTGCATATACACAGACACTACTACTTACCACAATAAATAGAAACCGAAAAATTGGTTTTCTTCCCGTTAAATGATTTACAACACAATTGTTCTTAAACTCATAAGTCTCCTGATGGGACAGCGGTAAGTCTTCGGATTTACAACGCTATTATTAGGGGTTCCATTCCCCTCGGTGGACACAGCAAATAGCCCGATGTAACTTTGCTATAACATAAATAAATCTTGAATGTTACCTCATTAAGGTACTAACTTCAAGCCGATGAAAAATACCACTTTTTAACCCGATTTTCTGTAGTACCCCGGTGAGACAGCAGTAAATTTACGGATTTATAAAGCTAAAAGCCGAGGTTCGATTATCCGCGGTGGACACAGCAGATAGCCCAATGTAGCTTTGTTTCTAAAAGAAACAAACACATATTTTCTGCACAACATTAATTCTGTCTCATTTTCGCTTTTAATAGGAATAATGTTAAACACTTGTAAGCTCTCAGAACTTTTGCGCAAAGTTACACAAGGGTTATCTGCTTATAACTGTCCCTAATCTTAGACTATAAAGAAGCTAGCTAATCAATAGCACCCAACGCCAACAATTGGGCTACTCTTAACTTACCAAATAGTGAAAATTGAAAGTTACTCCATAAAATGTAACAGGTTTTATGTAAAAAAAAACAACAAACATAAAGTTAAGAGCTAAAGGTAACTTAAAACCAAATGCTGTTTTTCTTCTAGTCTACTTCTAAGCAGCTGAAGGGTCCGACCACGCTAACCACTTAACCACGCCCCACCAAACTTTTAAGCTTAGCGAAAAATTGAACATTAAAGTTAAACTTTTGGCTTAAATTGAAGCAATGGTGTATGAAGGAGCAAAGGATATTTTTCAAACAAGTTTTTATCGGTTGTACCTGGTAAAACTTTTGTTTATTATATTGTTACGTCTCTGGTCGTTTCTTAATTTCCCGTAAAATTTCTTCCCGAGGAACTTCAGCGATACAAGTCCTTTCTTAAATAAAACTAGTTTATTCTTTCAATACAACTTTGCAATACACAGAATTTCCACAGTCACTTTAACTTAAACATACGCTATAATTCACAACGATTCACGCACTTTACTAATGGTCACTACCGCTCACTTGGCTCAATTATCTGTCTGTCTGCAATTGTATGACCGCTTTATTTTCCGGGCTTATATACTAAAATAGAGGGCGCCTAGAAAAGACTAGAGGGAAGGCAGCTAGTCATCACCACCCACTGCCAACTCTTGGGCTACTCTTTTACCAACGAATAGTGGGATTGACCATCACATTATAACGCCCCCACGGCTGAAAGGGCGAGCATGTTTGGTGTGACGGGGATTCGAACCCGCGACCCTCAGATTGCGAGTCGAGCGCCTTAACCACCTGGCCATGCCGGGCCCCTTCAATATGTTAAATCTGTGTATCTTACAAGTGGACCTATTGGAGTTGGGACTGGGTATCATCACACGAGCACCTGGACACACAAAGTAATAGTTTTCTATATCTTGGCAGCCTTACCCATATGTACACCACTGAATTAAGGCTTTAGTTATGGTAAACTTTTGATTCAAATGAAATGTTCTTACAATGTTCGTTCGAAAGATAATAATAATCAACATTTAAAATGCAAATAGAAGAAATAGTTAAATACTGAAAAAAAATCAACTTTGAAAGATTGCCCAGATAAAATATGTGGTTTTGGAAATAATCCAAAATTATCAGTTGTCATGTAAGTCCACACCTATAAGTTTAACAAACAAGAACTATTTTCAAACTGATTCAGTATTAAACAATAAAAATATAGCAGGATATTCATGAAAGTTATTTAATCACACGCACAAAAAGGAATGCTACAGTGCAGCTTCAAAATTTCAAACTCGTATATATGTGTATATTAAGTTTCATTCATGGCAAACAACAGAACTAAGGGGCCGTTTCAATTATATAAAATATGACTGAGAAAGTAATTTTTGCGAGAATGATAGCACTGAGTATACAAAACACCATAGCATATAGACATGACGATATGGCGAAGAAGAGATATGTCTAAAATGTATACTCTCGTACCAAGTATGTACACATTTCCATCTTTTATAACACGCACTTCACTTCGGCTAGAAACAACTGAAGATGTCCTTTTTGATATGCAACCACTCTAGAACGACGTACGAGGAAAATTTATTAGGCTTTATGTACAAATGTTCTAAAAAACAACAACGTTAAGAAGTAAAGGTAACTTAAACCCACATGCTGTTTTATTTTTCTAGTCAACTTCTAAGAAGTGGAAGTACAAGCTCAAACAAAGCAGTTGAAACAAGGATCCGACTCCCTTCTATTTGTTCTAACAACTGTGAAAACGATAAAAAGAGGCTTTTTATTTAGTGAAGCACACTCCCTCCCATCTTTTTTAGAAAAAACAAAACGCAACTCTTTATGAAAACTTTGAAACACAAATATTACATCAACCGGATTGACAAGATTTTTTAAAGCGCGGATGTAAAAATTCTAGAAAATAATATACTGATACCATATCCTTCAGGCTCAAAACGTTGTTTCTTGCTCTCTATTTGATAGACAGAAAGAAACATTCACGACATTGACGAAAAAATATCTGTGTAAATTATGAATATTTGATATAGCTGTCAGAATTGATTGTTTGTTGTTTGTTTGTTTTTGAATTTCGCGCAAAGCTACACGAGGGCTATCTGCGTTAGCCGTCCTTAATTTAGCAGTGTAAGGCTAGAGGGAAGGCAGCTAGTCATCATCACCCAC